TTTAGGGTTCTAAGCCGGTATACTCACGATGCTTTCCTTCTTACGAGCGAAGGTTAAATGTGCACGCATGTCCATCAGTGCATAGCCATTCGAACCTACGACCTAAGGGATGAGAGACGCACGGTGAAGTCAATACTGCCCTATTATGTATTATACAATAATTACTTTTATATTTCCGACTGACGAAATCTTATCTACGCGAACGTTAAAGGTACTTTTCGTTTGTAACTATTATTACTTGTGTACAGTCGCGTCGAAAATCACGTTTTAAAATTATTAAACTTAAAATGGCGTCACACAAGTCCTGACAGAATTTTTGATAGTTATACTTTTTAACCGTTTCAGTTATTTATATTTATTTCTAAAAATACGTGTATGCAAAAGATTTAAAAAGAAAATATGACATCACAAGTTTTCCACACATACACATCAATTATATTAGAACATAAGCAAGTTAGAAAGGAAACAAATAAACAAGCAACCACAAAAAAATAAAAACTAAAAAGTAATAATAACGGAAACTTAATATTTATTTATTTATAAGTTCTAAAACAACGTGTATGCATAAAATTATCGTTTATAGTATAGTAATATAGTATTTTATCATATAAATGAATGTCTTAATCTTATCAACCTAACAATAGACAATTCCATAGATAATTTTCATATTACTCCTACGTAAATATCTTATCAATAAGTCAGAGAGTCATTACTCATTACATATGTAGAATCTGTGCACCCTTTTGTCTCTTTCCGTCACGTTTTTTATAGAACAGGGGGCAAACGGGCAGGAGGCTCATCTGATGGTAACAAAAAAGGGCAATCATCGCAGCCTATTAACACTCAAACTAGGTATTTTCCTGCAAAAATTTGTAGTCTGTACCAAAAGAGACCCTATTTTGGTACAGAATTCACAAATTTTGTGTAATGAGAATAATTCATTTATTTATCACACGTATATTTTTTTGAGAATAATATGATTCTTATTTACTATTAATCTATAAGATTATATAACGACGTCACAGTTTTGTAAACAAAAAAGCTTCACAACAAAAACTCTTTCCACAAAAAACCGAATAAAATGAAATATTCAGCAACATTAAACTTCTCATTAATCTTCGAATACGTAAAATATTCTATAATTAGCATATATACATAAAAACATATAATAACATATAGTAATGTTAAGACTCAATGTTTCCAAGGTTATTTTTTGTATAAATACTAAGTTAAATTATATATATTAAAATATTTAATTCAAGCTACATAAATCATTAGGGATGCATGGAGCTTATCGCAACAACCTTCTTAGATCTGGGCCTCAGATTACTGTATCTGTTTCATTATTTGTCAATCTAATAGGCAAGTAGCTAATCAGCCTCTTCTGCCTGACATGTCGTCGATTTTTAGGGTCTAAGGCAAGCCGGATTCGTCATAGAAAGTACATTGGTGCACAGCCAATCGAACCTACGGACTCAGGGATGAGAGTCACAAGCTGAAGCCTAGGCACCACTGCTCTTAAAATTTAAAATCCAAAAGGAAAAAATATTTAGTTAAAAAATTTAATAAAATAATTCAATGTCATTGTGTCCATGACTGTACCTGTGCGGTTATCAGTTATTTACGGAGAGTGAACCCACGATAAGATAGCCGAATGCCTAGATCCGAAATAAATGGGACAAGAATTATTAAATTTTTAAACTTTAATAGAGTACTTACGTCTCTTTTCATAGCAGCGTAAATACAATTTGACAGAAAGAGACGAAAAAGCTATGTAGTGAAGAATGAAATTAGATTGATTCTGTTGAATATTTTATTAAAATCATTTAAGTCTGCCTCTTTTCACCGCTGCGTAATCACTATTTCTAGGAAAGAGACAAAAGAGTTGCTTTCCCTTTTTACTTTAGTATCATTTTTTATTACTTCCAGCCTCAATAAACTTCTTCTCTACCTTGAGGTCGTGCATTTGAATCTCTGGGTATGCACCAATTATTTCTAAGTGCGGAAGGTATTTAAGTTAAGGAAATTATAAGCCAAAACATGCCTGTAAGTCAGGCAAAGGGGTTCTTGACCTTATAAATTTTCTTATGAAAATCTATTTCCACCTCATACAGAAGATTTTTTTATAGTAAATAGCAGAGAACGAGCAGTCATCGAAGCCATGGACAGCCATTTTAGTGGGTGCCTTTGATGGAGTAGTATTCTCTTTTAACAATTTAAGGTCGTAACTCCCAGGGACTTATTAGTTTAGTTTGAGTACTACTGTTATTATAATAGATAAAATGTCATTTTAGAATATACATTATACAAGAATAACATTTTGAAATTGGGAGAAAAAGTATATAAATTTAGTGCGAAAGCTACTCTATGGGCGACTCTGTTAAAATCCTCATGTAGTCAACGCGACGTGGCATTGTATACTGCGCTTAAACAGTTGTGAGCCGTAATTATAATTTAGTATTACGTAATATTTATTAATAATAATAACTAAGTTGTTTTGTTGCTATAAGAGCCGACTTAGCTCTAAGGCCCGTATTCAAGAATATCAATCTTAAATCTAGTTTCAAGAGCTGTCAAACCATCTATGAAGTTTGATATATCTGACAGCGCTCACGATGAGATTGTAATTTGAGATACTATATGTATATTTATATTTTTATATCCTATCTATCCCATATATGATATGGGCCTAAGTATGACGCCGGTAGGCAAAATAAATACTTTTGTCAAACAGATTACGCGTGTCGACACCGACCTTAGATTCTTACACCTATATTCATAAAAACTCTTTCGTCTCTTTCTGTCAAATTGTGTTAACGCTGCGATGAAAAGAAACAGAGTTAGTAAACTTTATCTGAATCTTTCGTCCCTTCCTGTCAAATTGCATTAACACTGCGATGAAAAGAGACAGAGTAAGGTTTTTTTTATGAACAAAGTTGCTAGTTTAAAGCTTGTTCGTTTATAAACACGTTTCAAAGAGCTGATAAGAATTCAGTATATATTATATAACATAGTACACTGTTCCTAATATGGAACTAATAAATATTATATTACTTATTTCTATCTACTATCATCAAAGTATCAAAACATTAAATCGTCGTACGAAATCCCATAACGTACTAGAAAATTACTCTGACGCAGCGTTAAGTAGATATCGCCGTTATTCCTTTGAGATAAGGTCTGTTTTTCCTGGAGCGTGCCAGTTAGGACTGATTGTGGTGCGAGTCAAAATAAGTTTGTTCTATTTTTGATATTTTTTTTAATTTAGCAGGTAGTAGACTCCCTGCTGCGCAGTGGTTGACAATAATTTTCAAAGACTAGTGATAATGGTTAGTAGTTCGATATTAAAGTCGTGTGGTGAAAATATCGTAATATATTTTGACGAACAAAGTGGCAAGAGGCATATTTTTAAGTGCAAAACCTTACAGTAATTTGAGTGTTTTTAATTTTCATACATTAAGTCATATTTCTAAATAAATATAGAATATTAATAATTAAGATTTGAGACGACAAAAACGGACGCCATCTTGCCACCGCAAAGGCGCCAATATAAAATTCGAATACACAAAGAATTTCAAACATAATTCTTTCATTTCTTAATGCGATTAAAATTATAGTTTTTATTTGTGTATTGCAACATCCTCAGATTAATTACAACTTAGAATAATTAATTTCATTGATAGAATCGCTACATCTCGTAGTACATACCAAAACAGCAATAATTTCATCCATGAAATAGTTGGCGTTACCGAATAGGGATTAGAACGAGACAGCGCTATATGTTAGAGAGAGAAGTGTGTTTTCGGTTTATTTAAAATTTTTGTCTATTGTAATTCGAATGTTCACTGAATGTAAAGTTATTGTTAGTAATTATTATTCTTACTCATTTTAAGCCTGAAGTATGTTTAGTCCTTATTACTCTCGTGTTTAGCATAATTTTATGTGTTCCAAGTAAGATTTAAGAGCATTATAAAACTTTAAATACAAATCACTCATCTGTCACGTTTCATCATAGCGTAAATAGCATTTGTCAGAAAGAGACAAGATTACTTTGTTGGACTAATTTAGTTTTTTAATTAGATCAAAATCAATTTTTTTTTTGACTTCGTAATTTCTGCCTTACAATATTAGACTAGTAAAAACTAATAGAATTCTTAGTTTCATATAAAACGTTTTATGATATTTAAAACAAATAAATTAAAATGCGCGTTTAAATTGCAGCACAGCTTATTTATTGTCAATTATCACAAAAATGGCGGACTAAGTCTCTTGTCTATAACTAAGCTAATTGTTTCTGTGAATATTGTAGACAATAAATATACGTAAGTCCACAGAATACTAGCCGGAATTACTTTTTGTATTTTTTTTGTGTCATTTTGGCAATGTCAACTGATGTTAGATATTGACAAATGTGTACAGTACATAACTGTTGTATTTCTAAACGGTTTTCTTATATTACAATTTGTTACACCTTAGTGCTACAAATATAGCATTATGATAGTATATGAAACTGACAATGATTTGTTTATATAATACGCGCTTTTAAATCTCCACAGCCTATTTATTGTCAATTATCACAAAGATGGCGGACTAATCTATTGTCTATAGCTTTGGTAATTGTTTCTATGAATATTCTAGATAAGAAATATAAAGTCCACAGAATACTAACGGGAATTATTAAAAAGTTTTGTGTCATATTTTGACAAAGACAAGTCATAGATAAATGTGTGCAGTATAGTTTATAAAACGGCCAATGCTGTCTTTCCTCCAACTTTGATTTTGTTCCCTTTTGGGCAGTGGGATTCAAATCCCCTGTGGATTTCCTCCCCTCTTTTTAAAGATTAAAGTTGGCTGGTACTACCAGTGACCCCGGAGCAGGTGCTTTCCTCAACGAATAAGAATCGCAATATAGCGAGGAAATACTGGCAATAAAGGCACAGAGACGCTGAGAGCTGATTGCTTATTTTATGCAGTTCTGTGGAAATTTTCCTCCTATGCTATTAAACTAGTTCATAATCTAAACCAACCTGGCCCTGTGTCCCTCGTCCATCAGGGGTGTTCTCCGGCAGGAAGTACAGCCTCAAGGAGACCAGGGTCTGGTCGGAGACACGGTCCGTCCATAGGAGTTGAAGTTCTCCTAGAAAAATTTAGTATTTTAGTCATTTGTTTTTGCGATCACATACACATTAAATATTTTTGATTAAATTAATGCAACATAAACATATTCTTAAGAAACTTAACATAAAGACACATAGTTGCTCATTTAAGTGGTTCTGTTGTTTACAAATTTACGTGAAACATCCGCCCGACGTGGGGTGGTCGAGTAGTAGAACATAAAACTTTCTAGGGCACATGCGCAGGAGCAACCCTTCTCGACAACAAGGACCCGTAGAAGGCCCAAAAAAAGCCGCTCGGCAAACTTAACTGTTCTTATTATTATGATAATTAATATGACATTTGCATGCCTATTTTTATATGGTTTTTAGTTAATCAATCTGAATGTACCAATTTACAAATAAACCATTTATTATTATTATCAAAGCCAATATTCTATATTTACTTCGTTCTTCGCTCATTTCAATGAGCTAACCTGCCCTACAGGCGATTGACCCTGCGACGGCCTAAGCCGAGGTCCGAGTCTCGCAGGAGACGGCCATGCGCATAGTCATTTTGGCGATTAAAAAGAGTGGCGGAGAGTTTTTTTTTGACAAATTGTCATATCGTTTGTCTCCGGGGAACAAAGTCGTAAAAGTACAATCTATTTTTTTTTTTCAGGAAAAATAAAATAAGGTGCATATATTATCAAATATTTTTTTATATTCAACAATTTAAACATTGTTGTTATGTGTTTAGTGTAAATAGTTAAAAAAGTAACTAAATGTGTACTAAACTAAGTCATCTAATTAGACTGAAAAGCAAAAGCGTGTTTCACTGTTTAAACAATTACGGACGACACACTGCACATTACGACGGTAATTTTTGACGAATGTCTATAACGTAATAATATATTACCACTATTTACGCGGATATATTACCTTGGTGAAACAGGAATATATAATTACCACTCAATATTTGTTTTTAAAATGTCGCATTAATTATGATTATTTGGTAGAATTACAATCTAAACTAAAACCTTTATTTATGTTTGTTGCGATCTATTTCAGGGGAGGCGAAATTTGGTAATCGAGTATTACTAACATTGCACAAAATAATTTCCGTAGAATAAAAATTCTGAAATAAATTAGTTACAGTACAGCACCCAAGGAAATCAAAAATGAGAAAACAATGAAACAGACGTACTGTACGACTTAGTTCCCCGGGGCAAGCGATGTATTTATTAGCCTTCGGAAATTTGTGTTTCATAACTGTTTGAGGTCCGATCCCTTTGGTCTGTTTTACAATGTATTAGCTTTGACACAAATGTGTGTGATACGGAGTTCACAGGGTCATGTAGTTAATAATGATAATAAATTATGTGATTTTTGCTAATTTATTTCGTGTAATTATTGTTATTAAAAATGTAAATATACATTACCTCCAAACTTTTTTGTCTTCCTGAATTATTAATAATGCCAACTAATATATTAAGGTTTTAATATAAAAGTCCTACCTATGGAAACCAGTTCCGAGTCCTGCCATATCCTGACGAAGAAGAAGTCTCCAATTGCGATAATCCTCTCCAAGGAGCCAGTCAACCTCAGTGCCTTGTAGAAGGTGTATTGCCCATGATGACCACACGGCGCTCCGACGAGCTTTAAACAGATAATATACATTCAAATTCCTGCAATATTTATGGACTTTTTGGAGTGGGTTAAGTGTCTCTCCCTATCTCTCACAATTTGCAAATGTATTTCGATCACAACATTCCCCAAAACATTTCTACTTTCTTGGGTCATATTTGTACATTAAACATTCTTTAAATTTTTGCAATGAAAAACATAATGGTCGTTTCTAAATTTCTAAAAATCCTTGAATACGATATAACAGAAAATTTGTTTTCCATAGCCATTTGAGGTTGACTTTAAAAACATAATTCTTACACACACGTATAATATTTACAGAAAAAAAAATTCAATAAAAATAGCCGTTTCTAAATTTCTAAAAAGCCTTGATTAAGATGCAACAGAATATGTAGTATATTTCATTACAAGTGCGGAAAGCCTGTCATTGCAAAGAGTTTCGTCAAATGTCTACCCGAGCCGAGGCGCAGCCGAAGGTGAGGGTTGACAGTCGGAACAAGTTGCAATGATGGTTCCGCACGTGTACTGAACGACTATTTTTAATACAGTTGCGAAAAAATTATGCAATTTAATAAAATAATAAAAAAAACAATAAACTCAACTCACTAATCATTTATTTCTTATACAAATTATTGTTCACATATACATTGGTACAGTTTTTTATACTAACTGGAGAAGTTTTAGGTTGCATATTTATTTACTGTTTGAGACAAACTATTATTTATTTCGTATGATTTTTCATGTATATTTAATATATAATATAACAAACAACTAAACGCGCATTTTTGGAAAATGGCGCCAACCGTAAAAGAATATAAGCAGATTTTTTTTCTTCACCCATCCTGGGTAGGCAAAGGGAACTATGCCCATACAGCCAAGTCTTCAGTACAATTTTTTATTGATATGAAATGAAATTTAAGGAGATGAAATGAAATCTAACCTAACTCATTGAATCAAATCAAGTCTTATATTGAATCATAAAAATTTCTATGGATTTTTTTTAGTAAAAACTTCGTGGTTAGTTTTTTCTTTTTAATAGACATTATTTTGACAATTGGGAAAGAAAACGCACTAGTTCGGAAAAGGTAAAAAAAAAGCACGAGTGTGTAATAGCCCACATCCCGAACGCTATACGTCCCTGCAATACGCCACTTTTTGAGCAACTGTATTAAAAAATTTGTTATTGCATAGCCATTTGAGACTTTAAATAATTCTTACACACACATTTAATTCACACACCCTTACACATATTCACATACCCACAACCACTCATGCTTTAGTTTTATTTTGTATATTAATAATAAAAATAATATATCAATGGCGCTACAAAATTATAGGTCTGGGCCTCAGATTTATGATTCATGATCAGCCTCCTGTGCCTGACAAACACCGTCGACTATTTGGGTATAAGGCATTTAGATGTAGGTATTTGCGTGTTGTTCCCACGAGAATGTAATTGCGTGCTCCTATTTCACCATGCCTTCTGCTGATAGAGGACAAATCTATGTTTTTAATTTATTTTATAATTATTAATTAACTATTAATTAATTACGATGCATGTGGAACATGGTGTAATGGTTGCAGCCCCTTACAAACATTGTGTAAAACAAAATACTTGGCGATTAAAATAATGGCGGAGAGTTTATTGCCAGTTCTTCTCTTCCGTTCTACGCCCTTGATTTGAGAACTGGCAGTAAATGTAAAATTAGAAGCAAATAAGGTGTTTTTTTTATTGACGATCAAAAGTGTACATTGTGTTACCTTAATGAATAAATAATTTTTATTTGATTTCGCATAGAAAATCCATTGGAGTACAACGAAAGATCGACCTCTGGGATAAGAGTCGCACGCTGAACGCTTATTTTTATGTAACTGAATACTAAAGCAATAGAAAGATTTTTACCCTAAAAACATAATACCAATAATGGAAAAGTACACAGCCGGGATTTGAATAGGCACCAAACTTCAGAGTCTACCACCTAGCCACTGGGGCACTGGTTAATCTACACGTTATAGGGGATAATCTTTGGATGTACTGAAGCGATTTCGATTATTCTTTCACCAATAGAAAGCCACGTTATTTCTGAATCATAGGCTGTATACACAAATGAAAAAGCTTTGGTATTAGACAGAGAAACGGAAACGGAAACGTTTCTTACGAACGCTTATAGGTACGTATATATAAACAAGACTCAAATCAACGGAATTTATTGTTTGAATGCCCACGTCTGATATGGACGCGTTTTACTCGAAAACTACCGAACGGATTTTTAAATAGTTTTCACTAATAGATAGTCTGTTACCTAAGGAAGGTTTAGGTTTATAATTGTTTATTGTTTTATCGGAATTTATTGCAAACACTAATAAAATGATTCATGTTTACTGGTCACTTCTACTCGTGCGATTGCCGACGTCTGATACGAACGTGATTTACTCAAAATTTACTGAACGGATTTTAATATAGTTTTCATTAATATATAGTCTGATACCTAAGGAAGGTTTAGGTATATAATTTTTCAATTTTTTATTTCAACGTATATTATTCTAAGTCAAAAATATAATTCATGCGTAATGTGGACGCGGCCTGTTCCGATACGAACTGCGGATGTGGCCATTTTGTTATGTAGCGTCAACAAAACCAATTATGAAGAATAAATATCTTTTTATATTCCTTTACGAAATTACACTATATAATAATAATTTATTTATTGCAAGAATAAGGTACAAAAATGTGTAAGGTGTAAATCGTAAGTTCGCATATTTTGCCACACAGAATGGCGCGCAAATTCTCTTAAGGAATTTTACATTATATTATTTGTATCGTATATATGATATCATACTTCATTAAATTTATATCAAATATAGTGTCTCACGCAAATAATCATTTATAGAATAGTACATTTTTTTTAAAGTAATACACCAAGTCGCTTTTTAAAGACTAGTCGGAAGATCTTTTAATTCTTTAGGTATATCAGGTTATATTAGGTTAGGTTACCTATAATGTTAGATTAACTAAAAATTAATACTAGAACTAATCTATACACACAACACACACATACACAGTTACAATATTCTTAACCTACATAGTAATAAAAACAAAAAATAGAAAATTTAAACAAATTTTTAATGTTCCCTGTGCGTACCTTTCGGAAGCATTTCTTCGCTGTATTGCGATACTTATTCGTTGACGAAAGCACCAGGTCAGGGGTCACTGGTACTATTAAAAAGCCAACTTTAACCTTTAACTAGCACCTGTGCATTTGAACCCCACAGCCCAACTCTTTTTTAATAATAATAAAGTTTATTTGCCTTTCTGTCTTCTATAGATTGCACTCTGGTGAATGCTCTATGGAACTTCACAATCTGATTCCCTCATCTCGTTTGCGCTGGAGTTTCACCCCTGTGTTATCCAGCCAACTTAAATTTTTAATGAATATTTTATTATTAAATTAATCTATATATTTTAAAAAATTATGTTGGTTTTAGCATGGTATACAATTCGCATCAAGGATTGTTTTTATCAATTTTTTTTTTCGTTTTTATTTCTTTTTCCACAAGTATTGCAAAATTAAACTTATATGAAATGTTTTCTTTGTTTTGTTTCTCATTTCTCAACCATTCAATCACAATGTGCCTCCAGAACCGTGGCAGGGATCAGCTAGTATATAATAATGATCGAGTCTACAAATAGTACCGGTGACCCCAGAGCTGGTTTCATTACTCAACGAATAAGTATCTAAATAGGAGGAAAAAATAAAGGTAAATCAAATAAAATTAAAAAGTTTGGTCCATCTGCTAGACATTTAATGCTGGCATTTCCTCGTATGGAGATACTTATGCGTTGAGCGAGGAATGCACCAGCTCAGGGGTACTATCTTCATTTATATGTAACACTATATGTGTGTGTTATTTAGTGAAGCATTGTTCGCCTAGTGGCTTCAGCGTGCGACTTTCAATCCTGGAGCGTAGGTTTGATCCCCACCAATGGATTTTTTTTCTATGTGCGCATTATAATTCGATAGAATGGTGAAAGAAAACATCGTGAGGCAACCGGCTTGCCTTAGACCCAAAAGGTCGACGGCGTGCGTCAGGCACAGAATGCTGATTACCTACTTGCCTATTAGATTGACAAAGCATCATGAACAGAAACAGAAATTACTTCCACTAATATATATTAGTGAAAGTAATTAATAAACACAGACAAATTAGGTATCACTAAGTTAAATGTATTGATTATTTTTGATTGTTTTTTCCCTTTTATTAATATTTGAACGTTTTTATATGTATACTAGTGGACCCCACAGTCGTTGTCCTGCATGATATTTAAAGCGATTAGGATATTAAGCAAAGTATGAAAGTACCGACTGCAGTGCCATCTGCCGGTCTGATTTGTGAATCTAAACCATTCCCAGATCCCCTTGAACACACACAAAAAATTTCATCAAAATCGGTCCAGTCGTTTGAGAGGAGTTCAGTCACATACAGACGCACAGAAGAAATATATATATTAAGATTTGATGTATTCCATCTCTGGCTATATTTAAATGTGATTTTTGTTGTTATGTATAATGTTTGTTAGCTGTAGTATAACGAAATAAATAAATAACTATAGATTATGTTGGTTTACAATTGTTCAATAATTTGCTAACTGTACCAAGCACGGCCTTTGAATCAATAAGTATAAAATTGAAACAGCTCGGCAGATAGTGAACGTGCGAGTGAGACGGACTAAGATTAGGCATAGACTACAGATAAAATAAAATATTAAAAATCTATAAAAAAAATGTCTAAAAGAAATTACGAGGGAAATACAATATTTTTACAGGAAACGTTACATCGCAGAAGAATCCATCCACGTGGCTGTGGTTTCCCAACAGAAATCCTCGGAGCTGGTCGCTCCGTGAAGCGAAGTGACCAGGACACTAAGCTCTAGGAGCAAGTCAGGACACACAATGGACCAAATGAGCATCTAAATGCGGAGTCCACACTGCGCAGGTACATAGAACATGGCAAACGGGCAGGAGGCTCACTTGAAGTTAAGTAATACTTTACTCTACTCTACCCATGGACACTCAATGCCAGATCCAATTCGTTGGACCCTAAGTCCCTAAGGAAATACTCCAATGGGCGGTAGGGGCTGTAGGTTTCAGTGTAGC